ACACACACACTCTCTCTCACACACACACAGACACACACACAGACACACACACACACACACACACACTCTCTCTCACACACACACAGAGACACACACACACACACACACAACATGCAGGAACAATAGCAGTTCCTTCCACTGGCCATCAGCATCAACTATAACAGTTTTACACGGCAATATTCTCTCTGGCATTATGCAATAAAGATTATGTAAATACACATTTCTACACCAGAGACACTGAATTGTCCCGGAGTGTGAACAGGCCGGTGAATAAAATGACCTGGTGAGAGTAATGCTCTTCATTTTCAAGTGTGCTAACCAACAACCTACTCGTTCACCAAAGCGCTTCATCTGTAGATCAAACCCTGATCTGGCTCCAGTCAGAACGGTAAAGTTCTGAGGAAGAGGATGATGATGATGATGATGATGAACTGTCTGCTTTCAGTGTTTCAAGCTTTCAGGATTTGTTATCACAAAGCTTTTCGATTTAAATATGCAGCAGGTGTCCTGCGGTCTGCACCAATCAGTGATGCTCTCATTTGCATATCCACATGCTTTGCTTCAAAATGATTAAAAAGAGGTATGACTTTTTTTAATTAATCAGATTAATTCAGTTTAATTTATAACAATTCAGACAAATTGTCGGCAGCCACTATTAAAATTGCTTTTTTTGCATTATTTTTTAACAAATTCAATTAAAATTCTTTACATATTATATCAGTGTGACAACATTTTGAGTGAGTTTAATTTACGCGTTTATCACGTGTTTCAATTATTTTTAAAAATATATATTTTAAAAGAAGTTTCTTCTGCTCACTAAGGCTGCATTTATTTAATTAAAAAAAACTAAAAACAGTAATATTGTGAAATATTATTACAATTTAAAATATGTGAATCTCTGTTAAACTGTAATGTATTTCTGTGATGCGCAGCTGTATTTTCAGCATCATTCGGAACAGAAAATCAAGGCTGTCAGTTCAACACACATGATAACTCATGAACTTTTATCTAAAACAGCTTGACTGAAATGATTGATTGTATTCTGTCCATATGACCTCTGTGTCAGGGCTGTATATGTACGTACAGTAAGTACACGCACAACAGCAGAAAGTGTTATTGAACACACTCACTTTAAAGTGAACAGATGCACTTGAATGAATCATCAGTGATAACACAGACATCTGTTGAGACAAGAGCACATATATCTACATTCACATGAGTCATCCTCTCTCTCACACATGCACATTTATGGAAGCACATATACAGTAAATGAAGCTTTCTGTAGAAGTATGCATTAATACGGTGATTCGAGTGCTCAGGCACTTTTTCCTCTTTTTACCAAATTACAGATCGTACAAGTAAAATTGTGTTATGTTTGATTTATGTATTTTAAATGTGCTGTATGTCCTCCAGTGAGTCAGTGTTCTGGTGTGAATCAGGAGAGA